GGGACTCAGAGAGGCGGTACTAGTTTCCAGTCTCGGAGCTAACCTGTCTGTTTTGACTATCAAAGAACTACGAAGGGAAAATGCTAACGATCCTTTACTGCATGAGCTCATTGAATATGTGCAACAAGGCTGGCCAAGAATAATAAAATCCCCGGTGAGTTCATTCCGTATTATGCAATTCGACATGAACTATCAGTGGTAGATGGTTGCCTGATTCGCGGTTCGGTGTTTGTAGCTCCGCCCCAGTTGATAGCCAAGATTGCAGCTTGCGCACATGAGGGACATCCAGGTAGAGTTCGGATCAGAAATCGAGTGAGACTCTATTTCTGGTGGCCACGAATGGCATCTAGCATTGAGATAGTTGTGGTCAATTGCAACACTTGCCGATTAGCGGGCAACAGTTCTTTGCCCGTTAAAGCCCCGACACAGCCAATTGCTTACCCGATAAAATCATAGACTAAAATCGCCATTGTGATTATGGGCCCTTTTACTACTTCTCCTACGAATAAGCGAAATCTACTTGTCACTACATGTTTTTACAGTAGATGGCTTGAAGTACACATGTGCGACCAAGTTCCTACTTCGGTTGTGTTACTTTGGCTTAAACACTTGTTCAGCCGTTTCGGTTTACGCATGAACTAGTAACGAATAACGGGCCACAATTTTGTAGCCGCGAATTCACAGATATTCTACATTGCCATAACATTCAGCAATCCAGAACTGCGCCCTACAATCCTGCAGCCAACGGCATGGTCGAGCGTTTAAATCGGTCTCTAAATGAAGCTATACAAGACATACACATAGGAGGTTCGGACTGGGAGGACGCCGTTTTAACCGCGGTATTTTCCTACAGTACATGTGACCACAGAGCCACCGGAAGAACACCAGCGGAGCTGATGCTAGGAAGGTCCTTACGCACAAAGTTAAATGTTGCACATAACCTTTTATCAGCGAGAGAAGCCGAAGTTTCAAATCGCAAAGCATCTTACCAAATTTCCTACGCTAAAGCAACGACACTAATGCAGCCCGGGACATACGTTCGAGTCAAAAGCAGGGTGACAAAGAAAGGCACACCTTCGCTTTCCGCTCCAGTGCGAATCGACCGTACGCTTGGCCCGGGCACCCATCGATTGGAGAACGGCCTAAATGTCAACGCGCGTGGACTCCACACAGCTCACGAACCAGCTAATCAGCCCGACCGATCTGCGCATGAAGACCCGGCTGAGTTACCATTACCGCGAGAACGGTGAAACCTATTGATCGCTACGAACCAAGTTGAGGCGGTTTTTCGGAGGGGGGGAACGATAATGTGGTAACCATGTGAGTAACATCGATTGGCTCACTCTCATTGGTTGGCTTGCTGACTCATTCCTACCTTACTATTCGTCGTGTGTCTGTCGCTTGACTCTCCGTTTAACAAGGGATTGACTCAGTTGTACTTGGTTAATTTACGAGATACATTTTCTACCTGTCCTGCGGCTTCCTTGATACAACAGAGATAGCAATCAACCTGGTAGTGCTGGCCGAAGGAGGCTGCGGAGTGCCAACGGGGAGGTCGCCCAGTTAGGGTGGTGCGGTGTATCGAAAGCTCGATAATGTGATAGGCGTGTGTTTACACTTAAGTCGTTGCATTGACGACACCGTCACGTCTGCGCTTAAGAGCGTCCTACTTGTTCAGTTACACAGAAAGGACAATAAGCGGAAAAGAACATTTAACTAGCCTACATGTTGCAAAATATAAACTCTGTCTCAGCATTTCAACTTCTTCCTCCCTCGTATACTGCACTCACCACTAAGCCGCGATACTCGCACTTTTGGCGATTTTTGCATCTGGCTATTAACTTTAAGGTCAGCTGAAACTAATCATAAAGAATCGGTCTCCACAACACTCTGTTGTGTCGGGTGGAAAACCTGAAGATTCTGTTAATCATTTTGCGAGCAATGCTCAATAAAGCGGGCGCCTTTAATCAGGTGACAGCAGTGTGCCCTTCTTCTTTTTCTTTATCCATTAATAAAAGCTTGCATTTTTGCAGAGGTCACTTTACTTTTTTCCCTAAGATGAAACCGTAAATTGCTACAAAGGCACCCATCCGGGTGCATAAAGCTTACCTTGAGTTGGTTTGAACTAGAAATGTGCTCGCCATCGTTTCAGCGTGACTTAGCACGCTTACTGAATATTAGACTAATGTATGTGCTTGCTTCTGATTAGGGACTTTGTCTTGGGTGAATGGCTTAATTTTTGTAAGCGCAGTTACATGTGCAGCGTCCATACATTCGTTTGCTTTACTTTATCACTGTCCTGCTAGTACAAAGAGAGCAAGTAAGTTGAAGCAGCTGTCGTAGGTAATATCCACTTTCCATGGTACAACGGGGTATGGCTAATGCCGCACAATGGCACAATCTGTTTGTCCTGTGTGCCACCGCCATCGCAACGGGACTGGACCTTACGGTGGTGTGATGTTTTGCGTGCCTCAGCAATCCATTGAGATAGGCCGGGTGGTGCTTTTTTGCATCTTCAAGGCCATTCATACCAGATTGGTCAATGGTTAAGAGCCAGACAAACTCAGTCTCCTGGTCCTCCCGGTTAGGGGTTGGAGAGAAGGCAGCTCCTTATTTCTTATAACGGACTCCTTGTAGCCTACTGAGAAATCCGCAACCTTGCTGTCGGATTTTCGAACCGAAGAGTTTTGTTGAGAACCGTAATCATTCTCGTGTTTAGGCCTGGGCAACTTAATAGTATCCTGCTCACTCAATACAACTATGATTTCTACAGCTAACCATTTCTTGATGATCTGGCGGTCGCGCAGGATAATTAACGGCGCCCTATCTACTGCATCGAGTGGAGTGAATGGTGGGTTGGATGCTTTTGCTCAAACCTTCCAGTCTTATTCTCTCTCTCGCGCTTTTTCACCCTTATCGTCCCGTTCCAACTTCCCGTTTATCAACCCCCTCCTATCAATCCCCAATTATTGGCCCTCCCCACCATGCTTTGATAGGCATGCCTAGAACAATGAACCTCAATATATTACAAACAAGCCCCAGACGCTTGACAACTACGACTTGGGCTGGGACGCAGTTGTAAAGACAAACTACATTACTGCTTAACGATAAAATGGGGTTATATTGCGAGTAATAATGCGGACGTGTAAAATTTGCAGATACATGGGGAAGGTGGTGATTTCTAAATTCGGCATCATTGCATAAAGCTGCCTACGTTATCGTCATTGTTCCTCTTCTTATGAGGACGCTAAAGCAATCGCTCTTTGTACTACTTCCACGCACCCCTGTTATTTGTAACTCCATTAAGGGTAGGTTACAATACATAAACCAGTGTCACAAGTTACGTGTAAAACACAACACAAATACAACGCAAAGTATCCGTTCATGTGGCAGTGTAGGGAGCTGGGTTTAATATCCAGGACTTTTTAAATAATGGCTTGATTTTGAACACAGACAACTGGTTTTGGAAGGGTGTTTTAGGGCTGGCAGAGCCGGATGAAAAGTCTTCGTCAATCATTTAGGCGACTCTATTGTTGACTCAACTGCAGGCTATTATCTTGCTGGCGATTGTTCGTTTGTATTTTTCTACTATGGCGACAAGCGTATTTGAGATCTCCTAGTAAGTTGTAAGCCGTTATCAGATTTCCTCTTAACCGTCCATAACGTGCATTGAACATCTCGAGGATTTTTAGTCATTTTTGGTAAGAAACTTGTGCAAAAATTTTAACGTTTTCAGTTGCTCGACGTTGTATGGTCTCGAGCGCAGCTATCTCATGCGTGAAGTAGGATTTTCAAATCTACATAGCGAAGCCAGTGTAGGGACACACGTATGCAGTGAGTATCAGACAAAAGATGAGTCAAGCCAAACTCTTGAGTTCAGCGCACCCAGACTATCAGTTACAATCTAGGTCGTCCTGTACGAAAACACTGAGGTCAGGTTCCTGAGAGGTAGTGTACATATCGTGTTCCCTATACCTGTGGATATGGGTGCGTGGATAGCGGATGTAAACAACGCGACATTTGTTTACACTGACTGACAGCGCGTTCCGAACTGAGCGAATCCATGCCTCACCGAGGTTGAGCCGGAGGATCTCGTGGCCATCCAACCCCTCCATCACCCAACATCGTCCTTGAAGTGTAAATATTTTAAGGTGATAACTCGCTAGAACGGTATATCTAGACTAAGCACTGTTGAGGATCAAGTATCGATCTATGTGGTACACCGCGCTCCATGCAAATTTGTTAGCGCAAAAATGCTATCATTCTAACCGGTCTTGTATTGTGACTTGAATTTGCAGTGCCGCTGTCAGGAAAGTGGTGAATGCAGCCAACATAGATTTAAAGCATCAGGATATATCAGAAACAAGCCCGCGCATTCCAGTGCGGCTACAATGCCTGGCTCTTTCTGATGTATACAAGTAGATAGGCGGCAATTTCTAGGGTGCTATCAGTACTGCCTTCCATCCCGATGGTGCGACTTCTTTGCTCGTCGTCTGTTAATGTGTCCCAATCGGTCACAGCCCTTCACTAGCACAAACGATTGGTTGAAATTTGAGATACTGCTGCATACCAATTAGAATCAGAGCGCAGTAGCCACACCGACGTGATTCTTCACTTTAAGCAACGACAGAAAGTGTACTTCTGATGGGATAATGTGACGTAGTTTGGGTACGTCAAGCACATCTCCATGAATTTGACCCAACTAACTAGACCGTATTCGCCACTAAGTCAAATTCATGGGTAATAGGAGAGTAACTGTTGTTTTCAGAAGATTCGTTGAGGCTGGACTCAGCCAAACAGCCGAACTGCAGGCAAAAAAGCCAATGAAATTCTTTCACAGGGGAATGTAATGGAGCAGACGCTTTACATATGACACTAGATATGTGTTTGCTGCAATCTGAGGACATTAGGAAGGCAGATGGACAATAACGCGATGTTAGAATGCCAATGAAGGCATGATGAAAACATCATCAATGATTAAATAGCAAAACTTGCAACCTTCAAGAGAGCCAGATAGCATACTTACTTGCTTCAGCTGTTGTAGTCTCCTCTTCCGTTGTAGCTGTAATGTTGAGATTGAAACGAATGTCGAATGAAATAGTATCTAAAGCAGTTTGGCAACATAAGTTTACTACTTCATTCTCTAGAGACGCTTCCTGAGGGCTTATCGCCACTCATTCTTAAACAACTGCGAGTTTGGGACTGATGCTCATTTGATTTCACTAGTATAAGGGTCAAACCGGGAGTGTCCGTGAGGATAAAGAACAAAAGAAAGTAACACTAGCAAAGTCAACAATAACACATTAACATTTGTGCTGCTTCCTCCATGGGCTAAACCTTGGAGGGCCCTACTGGTGAGAAATGGTAACAGAAGATATGAGCGCTAGGTTTTAGAATCTAAGTTTCCCGAGCGAAAGTGAAAGGCCATGTTGTATGTACTATATAGTCAAATGCAACTGATTAGCTTTACGTAGTGTGATGAAGACAAAATCAACGGAACCGTATCCTGGTAGAGAAATCTTGCCCAATTCAGAATAGGCCATCACAGTATTGATTACTCGGTATCAACCACATTTGGTACAAGAAACTCAACCTATCGTTAACTGCAGAAGTGCCACGGATACATATCACTCGTCACTGCAAGGTCATACAAAGACTAGGTAGTGAAGACCATAGATTGCAGGATCGTCCGAGCCATCATCCAAGGCCCACTTTAGCGCTACTATGTCAAAGGTTGCAGCATGGGGTCTTGCCTCATTCCAAATTCGTTTGATGAACATCCTCGCTGATAAGTCGTGAGCTGGCGAACGCGATACGCGCTCTAGACAGCCCACCTTATCTGTCCTTATTAAGCCAATCAACAAGCTCTCCTGATTAATGCTACGTAATGCTCACGTGCGTACCTCATTTTTGCGGGTGCGGTTCAACAAAGCGACAAGAATAATGCTCCGCATGTAACTTTAGCCAAGGATATGAATGCGGTTTAAATAAAGGAGCCAATACTCATTGTCACACAGTGGGACGATGTTTACTCTGCTCCCGTAATCATGACACTTATCAGCAAGTGGTTTTGGCTAGCTTTACTTCTATTGCAGCTATACTCAGGCAACTCCTGATATTAAAGAGAATGATTTAGGTCCGAAACTAATGCAGGTATCGGAATTGACGGAAGGGCTTGCTGTCACCTGATTCACAACATTTGGGATTAAACAAACAAGTAACTCATGGTCTTGTAACAGTACACTTACATAAAATTGAAGAGAATGCCGATAAGTGACTGGGCAGATTAGAATTAACTAAACAGCTGGACAAATTTGTCTTTCACATAACCGGCGCCAAATAATCTAGCATTCAATTTGATGCCGTACATCTCTAGTATGGAACGGTACGTTAGACCATACTGTACGATTGCAAAACCTGGCCCCTTAGATCAGCCTACATAAACAGGCTAGTTACTTTTGAATACTGGCGCCTTCGCAGTTTGGTTCACCTCTGTTGGGAGCACCAAGTGAACAACGAGCGTGTTCGACGCCTTGTTTACGTCACGAAAACAAAAAACACAACCGTCATTTCATACGCCAGGCCTCGCTGGCTCGGCCACGTGCTACACATACCAGCCCAACGTCTCCCGTGAAGGCTGCTGTATGCCCTCCGGGGATGTGGATGGAAGAAGAGGAGAGGTATCCAAGCGGTGACTTGGTCCAGAGGAATGAAGGCCCTCACTTCGAAACTGGCATCGGTTGGCGCGTCACGGTTCCCTGGGGGGGGGGTTCGAAAGACGATGAACACATTTGGCTCGATACACTTGCTGACGTGGCTAGGAGCCCACCTCAGTGGGGTCCGTGCTTTGAGTTTCTTGGTCCCTCCTCATCCCCCTTAGCCTCTTTCTCCAACCATGGTTTCAGTTCCCAGCGTAACATAATTTCACCTAATCACTTTTTTGTAGACTAGTAGCCGGCTCCTAGCTATCCGGACCGGTGCCCATCCGTTGATGGTAGTTCAGCTCGCATGCAATTGTAGCATTTTTGAATTTTTATGTATAGCGGCATAGCAACTGAGAAGTTTTACACCTTAAGTTAACGTGTGTAATAAAGCTGATGATGATATCCCTACCAAAAAGACCTCATACGTATACACAATTTACATGCCACATATATAAGTGTCAAATTGCATGCATACATAGCCTGTCAAAATTAAGTTGCGGAGAGTCTGAAAACCATAATCAAATAAGTAAAACAGGCGTCCCCAGTTTCAGCCAAAGTAGGATGTTAGGCGAGCAGAAAAAGTAAGGGTAATACGCGGACTCAAAAACTACAATGGTACGCATTCTGTACTAACGAGCTAGAAGGTACATAAGAGTCAGCTCTCGTTACTGTCATTGGTGAAAATGCATGGTGAGATATGTCAGTTGGATATGCGCTGCGATTTGGTCAAGCAGCACGTACTACTGACTGCCGTGCGAGTAGCGAATTGGGAATGTGGGAAGAACACATTCCAGTCTCCACAATCCACGTCATCACAGAAATGTGGAGGTAAAGTGATGTTGGTCTTGGTTCAGCGGCCGATGCGGGAAATGAAGCAAGTGTGCATGAGATTATACCACAGATTAAGAGGAGCTGCTGTTTTGTGAGTGGGCATGAAACGTGTTCGATGCAATCTTATAACTGTAAGAGGGCGGATATCAATTAATAAGGTTAAAATGCAAAAAAAAGAAGGATGAAAAGACGAGCATTGAACAAATATCCGGTTTGGAACCGTCCAGAATCCAGATAGCATACTTACTCTCCTCCTCTGTTGTAGTCTCAGCGGCCGTCGTAGCTGCAATCGAGAGACACAACGAAGAGTCAAATGCAATATGAACCAAAAGTGTTTCACAGAACAGTCTAAACTTTATGTGTGTTCGCTTTCAACCGGAATGTGCCGGTGAGCATTGATAAGTTCCAGAGACCGCGAAGAGACCCAAGGTCCATGTTTGCCATTAGACCTACCACATGAGGATTTACCTGCCGCTAGTAAGGTCTGGTGAACAGGAGACCAGTGAGCTTTAATTGCATCCAGTGAGCGCTTACTCAACTCGCGTGTCAGCGTAATTTGATAGACACTCAATACAGCTGACTTCGTCAGTTGACTGGTGTCACTGCTCTCACAACGTCGTCGTGGGCGCCCGCCAAAACATATGCGCAGGTCAGCACATACAAGTGCATGATCTGTGTCCACACATGTGCTCTACATCGAGCGACAGTTCTAGACACATCCTCTCCATTGGCAACTTATCGCAATGTGATCGATTTGGGTCCATAGCTGGTTCCAGGCTGGTGGGCTCCAAGTCACTCTCCGGCGGGTGCTGTGTCGGAAATTGGTTCTCGCATGCAATAAACTGGTATCTTCGCACAAATGATAACTGCTCACTTTTTCATTACGGGAGCGTACACCATGTTGGCTGCCCAAATTCAGTTCATCAGTGGATAATTTTCCAACGAAGACCGCCCCACTGGGAATTTTTGCTTACGTGAAGTAACGTCTGAAGCCGGCAAGTAATGTGCCAATGCTGGATGGCCCAGATGGAAAGCCCCTACTATCCAGCACTGAGCTTGCGTCCGTGTTGGCGGCACACTTCGCGTCTTTACTCGCAAATGACCAGGTGTCTGTTCCGAGTTCGATGAGTAATGCTTTTATCGAACTCGACAGTCTGGATTGCGGCGCTAAAGATTTAGGTCAACTAGTCGCCAGCCTTGACGGTGTCAAAGATGCTGGAACTGATGGGTTTCACCCATTGATTCTCAAGTTACTTTCGGCCATCATCTCTCCTGTTTTGAATGACCTTTTCAACAGGTCGCTCTCCGTAGGTTAGTTGCTGAGTGACTGGGAATGTTTGGTGGTTAAGTTACTTCCGAAAGACGGCTATCCTAGCAAACTAGACAGCTAACTGCTAAGTTGTCTGACACCTATTTCGGCAAAGGCTGCTGAGAAAATCGTAAAATTTGTCTTATTGCATTTGCTACAGTCAAAAGAGGTCCTGACGCCCATATAGCACGGTTTTATGCAAGGCTGCTCATGCATTACAAACTTCCTTTTGACGAGGCATGAGTGGTTGAAGTCAGTAAGCAAGGGGAAGTCTGTCGACGTGATATTACTGATTTAAGTAAAGCCTTCGACAAGTTCAGCCATGAGGTTCTCCTTCACAAACTCAGGAAGTGCGGTGTCGGTGGTTCACCACACCGGTGGATCCGCTACATTCTTGTTGGACAAAAGTAAAGTGTACAGGTCGACGACCATCTAACTATCTGGTATCCTTCTAGAATTGGCGTGCCTCAAGGCACTGTGCTGGGGCCCACTCTATTCCTGATTCACATCAACGATCTACATCAGTATCCTCGGTCCCTGTGTGCCTATTTTGCGGACGACATGAAGATGTGGATAGAAATTGACCCTGCCTACGACTGTGGCCTACTTCAACAAGACCTCAACAGCCTATCCACATGGTGTGCAGAAGTTCATCTCCCGGTCAACCCAACCAAGTCTGTATTTACGAGCCTGGGGAAGGGTGCTGACAGCCGAAAATTAACCCTTGACGGCCAACCGCTATATCCTACACCCACCGTGAAGGACCTTGGTGTAATATCGCGCTACTATTCAAAGTCCGTGGATAAGGCTAGCAGGCCATATCGTAATGGACTGCAAATGCTTTGTGCGCTCAAACGTAGTTCCAGCACATGGTTTGAAGAGGTTGCCACTCACCTCTTCTCTTCCATCATCAGACCAATGCTAGAGTACGGTTCCCCCACCTACTTTCCGATTAGTTGAGACGAAGCACAAAATATCGAATGGGTCCAACACGTTGCTACCAGGCTCATCCTGAGTTTTCGTGGTTTGGGGTATGAAGACCAGGGCGAGAAATTAAGACCCTACACCTTATCCTACCGTCGGGCGAGAGTCGACCTCATTATGACCTACCGTATTCTGCCGTAATCATTAATTTGATGATCGAGATCTGGAATTAAGACTAAACTGGTAGGTTCTCAATAGTGTTGGTTGAGATAACTTTCTGCTATCAAACAGTACGACAGTTTTCGGCGTTGTCAGATAAAATGCAAGTAAGATCGATTGTGCATTCGAATATGATGGGAAACGTAGTGCTTATTCCAAACCGGACAGTAGGTAGGGATGGAACCTCATCAATTTAAGCTGATATTGACGTAGTCCATTTAGCCGCTTCCATTATCAGCTATCTGAGGACACTAGAATATGCAACAGCGCACAACATGTTAATCAGGGGATATAAGTACATTTGTTATCAGCACGCACCATGTGCTGTCATATTTGGATTACTCGTGAATATCTGTTACCAGCGAATTACTGAGGACCTCGTGAGATATAATTCGCGTATCTAGTCTTTGTAACATAAAATGTCCAGGAGCAGTTAGTCCTGAGAAGCGTATTTCATGGCTGGTGATAGAGCGCATCTTGCATGAAATAAGCCAGGCAATGGGTCGGGTGATATTGTAGGGGCGCGGATCTCGGTTCACACGGAAATGCCCCGGAAGCAGCAGGAGATCGGGACTAACGCGGAGACTGGGAACGGGAATCGCCAACCCAGCTCGTGACCTACGATGCGAGCCGGGAATAGGTCGTCAGCGACAAACGATACCGCGGCCACGCCGAGAAGAACAAGAGACAACATGAAAGGGAGCCCGATTTTCCAAAGATATATGCCTTTATCTACGGCCCCAGGAATCGGCCCGATCAGAGCAACACAGCCCCGAGTAAGCAAGTCGAGAGCTTTGGTACGAATCAAGTCTGGATAGGCTGCGACGCAAGGGAGCAGAAAGGTGGGCGGAAAACGGCACATTCAATGTCCACGTCGGATCAGCCTAATGGCGCTGAGTGGACACCACTTCACTCGGTGGAACGTGGTGCGGCGTAAGTGGGAAACGCGGCTATATTTGTGTGTGTGCGTGAGACATGTGTGTGAACCTCTCAGCGTGCAATAAACAGCGTTCCCCCTACCGTGTCGTTCTCGCTACAATATGACTAAGCATGGGCAAACAGTGTGTAATGTCCCTCGGTGAGTCCACACTAGTTGCTATTTCCAAGCCCGTAGCACATAGACCGCTATTTACTCGATAGTCCGAACTATCGCTAAATGAGAACCACAGGCCACACACTCAATTTGCGGCGCACAGTTTTCTTTAACAATGTACGATTTCCGTTTTAGTGTCAGATGATGATGTGGTGAAAAGGGTGCAAACATAAGGATGCTCACAGTTGCAGTTCTCATACAGTATAAACAGCAACCTCTGTACTTCCCTCCCTTGGCAATGGATATTGGAGCAATTCGACATGTTCGATAATATCTGACCAACTGAGCGGATCCCGAGTTTAGTATCACCGGATTTTTCGATGAAAGTTGAGCGAAGATGATCTGCGTCCTTGTGATACCATCAGCAGTCAAGATAATCGGTGACTGGGGGACATCGGGTGCCTCAACACATCACGTCAGTTTATTCTACTGTGACATTTGTGCAAGTCGATTGGAGGCGTGTTTTAGGAGCGTTGGGGCGCTCAACGTGGGTTTGATGCAGACCATTCGATATTGTGAATACGTCGAGGTACCAGGAAAGAAACGTCAAACAGTTCTAGTCCGGGAGTCAGTTTCCACCATCTATGGCAATATAGCAAACGGATGTTTGCTGCCCGCTGACGGTAGAACACTCATTTTTACACATGGAGATCATAAGATGGCATGCGGATTCATTCAGACTATGGACATTGAAGATGAAGATGAGAGAAGAAATAAGCAGGAGCAATACAAATATTTGCGAGTTCACTAGAACAAACCAATTGTAGTTTGCTGCTAAACTATATATGAGGGAGCAGTAGAATTCTAAGTCTGTTTTGTTAGCAATCGACGAAACCTGTCCGCCGCTACACAGCGTGTTAGATGTGTGGAAGGATCGGCAGCCTATTGGAGGATTTTGGCAGATTTTCAGAGAAGAACCCAAGTTGTATCCGTAAGAACCTGAATAACCATGTCAGCATTTCCCTGACGGCTGCTGTAATAACATAAATCCCTAATCTGGAAGACTTCTGGGAAATTTCAGTTAATTAGCTGTATATATGTCAACTTCTGTGAACTCAGAGCATGTCAAATTGGTATCAGTTTACATGAAATAAGTGTAGGTCGAGGCATGAACAATCGAAACGTCAAACTAGCGTTCTCTGTTTCCACTAGATGTGGATCGGCAGTCAAACGGAAGTCTAAGGGTGAGGTGCAGATTCCGAATCTACAGTGGTACGCATTCTGTACTAACGAGCTAGAAGGTACAAAAGAGTCAGCTCTCGTTACTGTCATTGGTGAAAATGCATGGTGAGATATGTCAGTTGGATATGCGCTGCGATTTGGTCAAGCAGCACGTACTACTGACTGCCGTGCGAGTAGCGAATTGGGAATGTGGGAAGAACACATTCCAGTCTCCACAATCCACGTCATCACAGAAATGTGGAGGTAAAGTGATGTTGGTCTTGGTTCAGCGGCCGATGCGGGAAATGAAGCAAGTGTGCATGAGATTATACCACAGATTAAGAGGAGCTGCTGTTTTGTGAGTGGGCATGAAACGTGTTCGATGCAATCTTATAACTGTAAGAGGGCGGATATCAATTAATAAGGTTAAAATGCAAAAAAAAGAAGGATGAAAAGACGAGCATTGAACAAATATCCGGTTTGGAACCGTCCAGAATCCAGATAGCATACTTACTCTCCTCCTCTGTTGTAGTCTCAGCGGCCGTCGTAGCTGCAATCGAGAGACACAACGAAGAGTCAAATGCAATATGAACCAAAAGTGTTTCACGGTGCAGTCTAAACTTTGTGTGATTACATTTAGCCTATATTCTTAAGGGAATTCAAGTTCGAGCAGCTAGGAATCGCGTGAACATACTCTATGAATTTCGTCCACTTGCACCATTCCACAAAGAGTTAATGTGAACGAAGTCCAGGTTGCCCAAACTGATGAGGAATGGGTGGCGTGTGAGCAGGCCGTGATGTTTTGACCTAGTTTGCTGGAGACAAATCCCCGCAGGTCGATTACGGGACGCGGGTACATTTTTATTAATGCGATCACCTCCTCACGAATTCGGGTTCCCTAATTCCAACTTATCTTTACGACACAGATTCTCCAGCACCAGACCACATTAGTACAGCAGATGCGTCACAGGTGCAGACCACGAGTTATGTATCGATTGACGTCGCAAGTGGATTAATTAGCAATGGCTTGTCGATGAAAATACATAACCGCTTATTCGTTCAGCTTGTTGTGATGTATTGTACGGCTGCTCAGTTCAAGCTGCTGATGTTTTGGGAGGATGAGCGTTGCCTGATGACTCAATTAAATCCCTTATCCGCAGTGCAGATATGTATTTACCTACCAGTGGAATTTTGGATATTTGTCAATGCCTCTCATTCAACAACGGTTACGTTTGGGTTTGTTTAGTTTTCTAGGTCGTCCAACATTCCACCTGGACGCTTCGATCAAGTTATGTCGTTATTCTGGTCCGGTTCCAATAAGTTTGTATGTTTCGCTGATCGGATATCTCGTCGCTGCTCGTACTATTGTTCGGTGTACTCCGCAGGATGTCATGTTTCAATGCCACATTGCCGTGTTCAGCGTTGTCTCAAGCCCAATCACTATGGTGTACATATTTTGCTTAAATGTTGACTCTAAGTGCATTGTTCATATCATAGATTTGACCATACCCTTTTCTCATCATTCCGGAACAGCAAGTATTGCTTTTACCCACACACTGCATCTCCTCAATATCCGGGGTGCACACAGCACCCGAGTGCATTATTCAAAGTGCCAATCCACAGTGCTCATCATAGTCTGATTTGTAACTATTCGTGTGTTAATGAAACTTGAGGAACGTTTGCAACCAACGCCAATATAGGATTTCTTCGCTTGCGTAGATGTTCAATTTGCTTTGCCGATATAACATGTAATGATGTGTTGATCGCCGCAACATATAAAATATGCAGTCATCACGATTGCGTCCAGCTTTCGGTAAAGTCGGTTTGGCTATTATCACTGCCTACACGGTTACTCGGCTGGCTTATCGATCTACCTCCTCGTGATTGCCGCTGGATGGTTAGGGTTATCCCGTTCCAGCGAAAGTTTCAGTGGCAGTGTTCTAGTACAGTTGTTTTCGCCTGGCATGCGCATTTCCTTTTAAATCCACGCGTGTCCGCTTAACTACACTGAGACGTGGCGGATGTGATACGCCAATAAATTAAATCGCTGCGCCTTTCTTCACCTCGCTGGAGCATTGCGATCATCCTGCTCGACACTGAAATTCTGGGAGTATTGGACGCCTGTTTGACAACCAGCCAAATGAAAGCCGTATGTATCGAGCAATCGGTCACCCGCTCCCAATGAGGATGATTCCCTGCAGTCGCTGGGCTGCCTTTCTGGTCAGTTCGTTATGACCAAAGGATCCGGATGTAGCTCCCTATTTCAACCCCCTTCCTCGATCAGCGCAACCGGGAATCTGTTTGCACACACAACGCATGAAATTAAAGTATTACAACGCACTGCTCACGTTTCTCGCTCTCTGATCTGTCTATCTTTGGCCGGGTTGCTGGCGGCTGTGCACGGTAAACCTCCCTCTACCGCACCGCAAATCACGTTCTGCCTTCCACGCTTATTTAACCCTCCAATTCTTGGCAACCCCCTTCAATTTCGAGTCTCCGAAAGCGCATTGCAAATACAAACGGTACCGTTGGCCACATCAATGAACCGCTCAAAACCGCTCGCATACATTCCTATACCAACAGCAAGGCTTTGATTGCACCCCACTCGTTCTTCAAGCTAGCTACTTTCAATGTTCGAATGCTCATGCAGATTGATTCGCAAGCTGCTCTTGCGCGCAACTTGGAAACCCTTTTAATCGACGTTTGTTGCCGAACCAACACCGGTTTACAAGACTTCAGCAGAACGCTGCGATTGCTCTCACCCTCCCCAAGTTCCAATTGCACATTCACTTTGCGCTTATCTGGAGATGCGACAGCGGCAGTCTCTGGTTGTGCTGGCGTAGGAGTTGCGTTAAGCGCGCGTGGTGAGGCAGCGCCCATTGACTGTTTCCCGGTCAACAGTCGTCTTTGTGCAGTCCGCTTTGGAAGCTCAATGCGATCTTCCAGCTGCGGGACCAGAAGGCGCTGCTTATTTATTGTGGCAGCGTACGCTCCAACGGACTGTAGCCCGGAGGAAGCTAAGGACGAATTCAACCGCCAACTCACCGACCTCCACGGTATGAAACGCCTCATGGACATCGTGATGCTCGCCGGTAATCTTAATGCGCATCTCGGGAGACTAGATGCTGATGAACGAGTACCTAGGGTCAACACATTCACGGTACTCGCAGGACGGAAAACGGGGATGGTCTCCTTCAACTGTGTGCCTACCACGGCTTGTTCCTCTCCAGAACCAATTTCTGACGTTTCTGGCGTCAATGAGTCATCTGCAGACCTCCTGCGCTTGGTCTAGCTTGAACGCAAATTGATCCCATCGCTGTTAGCTTCCGTTGGCGGGGCCGTATGACGACTTGCAAGTCAATTTTAAGAAATTACCTGACTTCGCATCATGCGCCAGTGTGTGCTAAGTTCGTTTTGCGCTTTGGAGGCACCCAAAAGCGTCGCAGAAAAGGGTTTGGCAAAAGCAAGCTCCCCGCCTCAAATGTTCTCGATGCATTTCAACTAACATTAGCCTCCACTCTACGTTCTCTATCCTTCGATGTTAAGACACACTGGGCACAGATTCAGAGCGCTTTCCGAAAGTGCGCTACCCTGGTCTGTGGCTTCAGTAGACGAGCTGCTGCTCATTGAATCTCCGCACAGTCTCTCCAATTAATGCAATGTGGTCGAACAATTGCTGTCGGTGTTGAGTACAACGCACCACGAAGAACCACATGCGCTGAGCTCAGACAGATCTTCAGAAAGGATGACGACGCTTGATGGACAACGCCTTGTTGAGATGGAGCGTGCAGCCTCATCAGTAAACTCCTACAAACTCTTCCAACTTATTCGCTCCACGGGAGTTAGAAGACCAACAGTGTGGGAGGTCTGATGTGTAAATGACGGCGAACTAATTCACAGTGGTCACTGTCGTCTTGTACGATGGGCAGAGCAATTTGCAGATCAATTAACTTGGCCAGAAGCGCAACTGAGTCTATCTTCCGGGGTTCACAACGCCCTCGGGTGCCCGGATGATTCTCCACCGACAGAGACTGAGGTTTCCAATGAGCTTCGCCTACTGGAGCGACACAGGTCACCTGTCCCAGATGAACTTCCTCCTGCTCGCTTCAAATATAGTGATCCTGCTCTCACTCGCGAACCTACATGTCCATTGCATCAGATTTGGACTACTGAAACCATTTCATCTGACTGGAATTTAGCGGATGTTGTACCTTTTTACAAAAAGAAGACCAGACCATTTGCTTCGAACATCGTGGCAGCAGTCTCATTTGCGTCGCATCCAAAATGCTCGTTGCCCTACTCTTGTGTAGGCTCAGTTACGTACGGGAACAGCACCTGCGTTAACAAGAAACTGGATTTCGCCAGAGTCGCAGTTGCGTCGAGCACATCTTTACGATCCGCCAGATACTTGAACATCGCCCTACTTTTGGTCGACCAGCTATAGTCATATCCTTGGACATTCGAGCCGCTTTTAACGCTGTTGACAGAGTGGCTCTTTGAGACTGCCTACTGAAGAGGGGAGTACCTGAGAAGTATATCAACATTCTGCGTGCTATTTACCATCAAACTTCAGGCCGCGTGCGAGCATACGGAGATATTTCGCCTCTTTCAGTATCACTGGCGGTATTAGACAGGATTGCCCAGCCTCTCCATTCTTGTTCAACTTCGCCATGGACGAGATGCTGGATACTGCCCTGAATATCTCGGAGTCCTGCGGTGTTGAATTGCTCCCTGGTGACCGCCTTCAGGACTTAGAGTACGCCGATGACATCGCTGTGATTTGTGAGTCCTCCCAAGCCACCCAGCATATGCTGCTCAGACTGGAGATGTCCGCCGCCCAATTTTGGTTGACATTTGCCCCTTGTAAATGTAAGGTCCTATTACAGGACTGGCCAAACACATATTCTTCTCTTATCCTTTCGGGGCATCCGTTGGAAGTGTTCGACAACTTCATTTATCTTTGTTGTCGTCTTAGTATTGGTTGTATGACAGATGAGATCTCCCTGTGTGTCTCCGAGGCTGGAGAGGCTTCCGCTAACATTTGTCACTTGTGGCTTCATCGTGACCTCAGCCTCGCTCTCACGGGACAAGTCTATAATGCTACGGTATGAGCGATTCTACTGTACGGCTGTGAGACTTGGCCCGTTTGCAAAAGCGATGTTCAACAGCTATCTGTCTTCGATCACCGCTGCCTGCAAAGCATCGCTGGCGTGCGATGGCAGCATCACATCCGTAATGAGGAAGTCCGTCAGCAAGTCTTCAGATCTAACGAACTCAGCCGCTCAAGTACTAGCATCATTTCAATGCGGAGGCTTTGCTGATTTGACCATGTGCTCAGTAGGCCTACCCAGCTGCTACCACGACGAGCCCTATTTGCGAGCACAGGCGTGGCTTAGAAGGGACGAATAGGAGTGCAATCTTAAACTTAGATCCAATGTGTCAAAGAGCAAATGTTGAAGGTGGATGTTGTCGTGCGTTCCCGACGCCCAGGATGATGACAAAACACAACGGGCAAACTGGTTGCAAACGGCGTAGGCTTGGCCAAGGACC